TTAGCAGAGATCCCAAGACATCTGTACTGGCACCTCCTCTTTCCCATCCCCACAGTCACAATGCAAAGGAAGATGTTCTTGATTCTTCCTTGGAATCACCTACAGTGGTACCTCAGGTTACATACGCTTCAGGTTACATACGCTTCAGGTTACAGACTCCACTAACCCAGAAATAGTGCTTCAAGTTAAGAACTTTGCTTCAGGATGAGAACAGAAATCATGCTCCGGCGGCACAGAAGCAGCAGGTGGCCCCATTAGCTAAAGTGGTGCTTCAGGTTAAGAACAGTTTCAGGTTAAGTATGGACCTCTGGTACGAATTAAGTACCGGTACTTAACCCGAGGTACCACTGTACTTTAATTTAAGCCTGCAGTGCAAAGGATCTCGAGCTGCATCCACAAAGGGAAAAAATATTCCTTTGTGATTGACAGGTCCGTAGCCCCACCGACTTCTCAAAATGACTCTTGTGGGTGGGGTGGACAGATTTTGTTCCGCACCTTTGGCCTACAGGAAGTGTACAAGCAAGTCATGCCCAGACTATTACCACCACCTCACTCCTCACAAAGCAGAGAATGGTCCAGCAGCTCAGAGTTTCTTGAATGAGTAACATGCCAGTGGCTATAGTGTGTGCATCCAGGTCTTTGATTGCTGATTGCCCCAAAAGGTGAAGACGCAGAGGGCTTTGGGTAGCTGCTGTGCGTTCACTGAATCAATATGAATTATAGGGAAATGCTTGCACTTCAGAGGCAGGGATGGTGAGGCTTAGCCTGCTGCTTTTGTTCACAAGTACAGTGGTACCTCAGGTTAAGAACTTAATCCGTTCTGGAGGTCCGTTCTTAACCTGAAACTGTTCTTAACCTGAGGTACCACTTTAGCTAATGGGGCCTCCCGCTGCCACCGTGCGATTTCTGTTCTCATCCTGAAGCAAAGTTCTTAACCTGAGGTACTATTTCTGGGTTAGCGGAGTCTGTAACCTGAAGCGTCTGTAACCCGAGGTACCACTGTAATCTATTGGCAAATACAGTTGCCTACTTCTGCTTAACAATTTCTTCAATGTTATTATAGTTACAAAAAAAATTTTTTTTTTTACACCTACAGCTTTGGCATTCTATATCTTTCTCTCCCTCACCCCACCCCCGTGCTCTTACATTAGATTCAATGTGAGATAAGTGAGTAATAAAGAGGTGGATCATCTGGGTTACTTTTTAAGCTCATAAGCATAATGCATTATAGCATAATACAAATTATGTAAGAACCCACTCTTCACAAATGTGGAGGAAAACAGCATAGAAAATGAGGCGGAAGGCCCCCCAAACTCCAATGCTATTAATGAAAAAGCATTGCGATTATTATTATTTCAAAAATGTGTTTTAGACCACTTAGCTAATCAGCAGCTGAAACTGAACAAGTCGGTCAGAACAATGCAGCTCTCCATTACTTAATTCCACCACAGTCTTTCTACACTAGAGCAGCATACTGTAAATGTGACAGTTCTGGTGGTCCTTGGGACAAGTGCTGATCCCTGGAACTCTTGCTCTGTCCCAGAATGTCTTCTCACATCCCACCTGGTTTTACAAATCAAAATTGCAGCTGTAAAAACCCCCAGTCATTCAGTCGGCATAGAGGCTGTAAATATGGGTGCTCAGTCAACATCCCACCACAGGCAGTACCTTGGATAAATGCTCAATTTATCCTATAGGTGAGCTTGCAATATTAAGCTGCAGGTCCCAGCTCCTGCCAACCTAGCAGTTCGAAAGCACGTAAAATGTGCAAGTAGATAAATAGGTACCACTCCAGCGGGAAGGTAAATGGCGATTCCGTGCGCTGCTCTGGTTAGCCAGAAGCGGCTTAGTCATGCTGGCTACATGACCTGGAAGCTGTACGCCAGCTCCCTCAGCCAATAAAGCGAGATGAGCACCGCAACCCCAGAGTCGGCCACGACTGGACCTAATGGTCAGGGGTCCCTTTACCTTTACCTAAGGCAGATTCCCTATAGCAGGGTAGAAAGCAAAGGCTCCCAACTTTTTGGGGGCACAAAACTATTTAAAAAAAATAATTCTGAGGGATAGGCAGTCTTGGTAGATGCTGAGGGCAGTGTCTGAGAGTGTAATGGTGCCCATAGGTTCCATGTTGTGAGTCCCAGGCACAAAATAAAAATTACAAAATTGTACTGTCCTATTGGGCATCTCTGGGCAGTTGCATTTCTACTGCTGCCATCTTCCTTATACAAGTAGACTCAGCCACAAATTATATAGAACTCAAAAGCTATTAGGCATTAGCTATTGCATCACACCCTAAATACCTCAGTTCATACCACCGATCACATTCAAGAGCTGTCCTGCAAGCAGTAAGCCTTATTATTCTTATTCAAGCTAGGCAGTTTTTCTCCTGGCAGCTCAGACTTCAGCATTTTTCTGGAATGGGCACGAAGAAGGGAAAATCTTTCTTTTTTTCCCATTCCAGATTTCCCCCACATTTCTACGTAAGTAAATACTGAGGTAAAAGGGTCTACATAATGAGATCTGTTTCCCTGTCTACACTTACCTCCTTCAGAGACTCTGGATGGCTCCTTTCTTCACACAAAGACTCCAGTTCCTCCTCCTCCTGGAGTTTTCTGGACTCCACCTTGCCTCTCTACCTTTTCTGAATTCAGCACCAATTTATTTGCTCACATCCAGCCCATCACCACTTCCAAACACTTAGTTGGAGTTAGGAAAGTGTTTTTATTAACTGAACTGAAAAGGGAAGGATGCGCAACTGGGACATATAAATCAGGATGAATTTGGGATAAATGTGCATTGCAAGCAAATCAGGATGAATGCTCAATAAACAGGTTGTCTGGAGGAGTCCCAAGTTTTCATTAATAAATTTAAAGCATACTGGACACCTAGAAGAAATTTTATCCAAGGACAGACACAAGTTTGTCATTAGAATTTTGCATCTTATCCAACATGTGAGACAGGGCCAGGGGTCAGCAAACGTTTTTAGCTAGGGGCCGGTCCACTGTCCTTCAGACCTTGTGGGGGACCAGACTATATATTTTTGGGGGGGGGGGGATGAACAAATTCCCATGCCCCACAAATAACCCAGAGATGCATTTTAAATAAAAGCACACATTCTACTCATGTAAAAACACGCTTATTCCTGGACTGTCCACAGACTGGATTTAGAAGGCGATTGGGCTAGATCCGGGCCCCGGGCCTTAGTTTGCTTACCCATGGGCTAGGTAGGCTGAAGATTTATTGGCTCAGAGTTGCCCAGTAAGCATATTGACTCAAGTGGATGTGAACTTGGGTTTCCACAAACCTAATCCAATATACTAATCATGCATCACATTGGCTCTTTGCCTATAACAGGGGTAAGGGAAATTCAGGACAGATTAAAGGAAGTTCTTCATACTGTCCAAAGCCAACTATAGAACTTGTTGGAAGCCGCCCAGAATGGTTGGAGTAACCCAGCTGGGTGGGCAGGGCATAGATAATAAAATAATAAAAATAATCCTAATTTGAGTGGCTTTAAAAGAGGATTGGACAAATTCCTGGAGGTTCAGGCTATCAATGACTACTAGCCGTGATAGCTGTTTTCTGCCTCCACAGTAGGAGGTAGTATGCTTCTAAATACCACTTGCTGAAAACCACAGGAGGGGAGAGTCCTCTAGGTCCTGTTGGCTGGTTTCCCACAGGCATCTGAGTGGCCACTGTGAGAACAGGATGCTAGAATTGAGATGCATAGGTCTGATTCAGCAGGCTCTTATTATGCTGTTATATGTTCTTAGGGAATCTTCCTGTAATCCTTCAGGTGTTGTTGGACTCCAATTCCCATCAGCCGCAGCCAGCATGGTTGTAGATGATGGGTGTTCTAGCCCAACATCCGGAGAGCAGCAGCTTAGCCTCCCTTAGTCTGTAAGGAGCAGCAACTCCCATGGCACTTGAAGCATATAACACAATGGTTGTGTGATGCATTGCACTCATATACAGTATGTGACAAGTTTTTTCTCCCCCCCCCCTATGTATTGAATCTGAGGCAGAGTTTCTCTTGTGCACTAGAAATGGCCTGGCTATCTTCCTGACTCAAGCATTTATGGGCAAAAGCCTATTCAGGAACACAGCTGTGTATGAGGACAGAAGACAAGGCAATGAAATGTTCCATTATCTGGTTTGTCCAGTGAATAAACTAGGCTATAGAAGCAGGGGAGTTTTACATAAAGGATTTTGCCTAGCCCTAGGGCGGGGGGGGGAGGCAGGGGGGGAAGGCAGTTGGGGGCAAAGCCTTACAGGGCTAAGTCTAGAGATGGCCCACAGAGAACCTGCCAGATGGAGAAAAGAAGGCAAAAGTGGCAGAGCAGGTCTGAATATTACAGCTGCGGGGGGGGGGGGGTGGAGCTGCCAAGTGAGACTGTCAAGTAAACGGAACTGTGAGTAGAGGTTTTAATGGAAGGAGTGGGTCTCATCTGATATCGGGATAACACTTACTAACTTCTAGGCAGTACGTGATCGTGATTGACTGTAACAGCACTTGTGTCAGTAGTCACTGACACCGAAGAAACGCACACATTCTTTAAATGCAGAATTAAAACGTAAAGACGGACATTTTTAAACACCTTAAAAAGTGCAAAAACTTGCTTTTGGGTCAACAGCATGTTGGAAGCCCCAACTCTTTGCTGCCACTGACATGGCTTGACTCGCTTGCATGACCTGCGTGTGGGACATCCTGGCTTCGGGGGTATCGGCCCACGCAAGGCACTTTGCAGAAGTCTACCTCCCCCCCCCTCTACTTATGGGCCGCTGTCATTTGCTTTGGGTGACGTGGGTGGACCTAGGCGGCCTCCCTCCCCCCCCCCCCCGCAATCTAAGGCCCTATCTGGAATCCACGCGCAGCAAAAGCACAGGAGCGAGCGGGGTCGAGCGGCTACTACTGGAGAGCGGCTCTCCCCGTCTGGCGGCCCATCCGCTCTCCCTCTCCCCCCCCCCCCCGCTTCCACCGGCGCAGAGCGCGAGAGAGCAGGAGCGAGGTCGCGAGGGAGCGCGTTACCCGGCATGCAGCGGGAGGCGCGTTCGCACCAAGATGGCGGCGCCTCTGGAGGAGTACGAGAAAGAAGCGGGCTGCGTCCCTATCCTGCACCCTGAGGTGAGGCCCTGCTGGCTTTAAGGCCTCCCTCGCAACCCCGTCAGCCTGGAGAAGAAGCTGGGTGGCGGCGAGAGGGAGGAGGAGGAGCGGAACGTGGCGGCGGCAGCGGAGGCCTCCGCCCTCCTCTTGGCACTCCTTTCCCAGGCGGGGGCGGAGGTTGGCCCGGAGGCGCGGGCAGGATTGTCTGGGAGGGAGAAGCGGCGGCGGCGGCGGCGGCGGCGGGTGCGCCTTGGCTGGGCTGCGGGGAGGGGAAGGAAACAGGCTGGGCAGGCAAGCTCCCCAGTGCCCAGCAGGGGTGGGTAGGTAGAGGACGAGGCTTTGCCCTGTGCCCCTCGTTAATTCTGATTCCCTCACAAGGATATTTGGGGTGGAAATTGGATGGGGAGGGGGTGTCCTCCTGGACAATCCGTACCCAATGAACCGCTTTCCCTTAATCACACATAAAGGAGCGAGGAACTGCAGGTGCCTTGAGTTTACTTGAAAAAAAAAAGAAAAAAAGGGGGGGTGTCCTGAGACTCAAAAACCTCAAGAGAGAAGTATCACACTCCTCTAGTTAAACGCTGAAAAAGGCTTTTGAACCTACTAATGGCCCAAGCGCGCAATTGCACAATTTAGGGGCCCGCAGGGCAGCTTTCTGGTTTGGCTGTTCTCCGCCTGTTTGGGTAAAAGGATTCAGAGCTAGATTTAAACAAGAGCAATACGTACTCTCTCTGGTCTTGTGGGGTCATTGATCTCCTTTCTCCCTTTTCGCTGTAGAGTTTGGGGCCTATTGTGGCTTACAGCTTGGTCCTATAAATTAGAGGAACAACAAAGAGTGTGGTAGCTCTCTGAAGATGGGCATATTAATCATGGGATAAACTTTTGTTTATTTTTTTAAGGCGTAATGTATTTGTTAGTTTTTAGGACATAATACAGGGTGAGTGTTTTAAAAGAGGCCCCATGGAACATGTGTACTCTGTATCCACGGTGCCTCTTTTAAAGGACTCACCCTGTATATTTGTTAGTTTTTAAAGGTGTTGCAAAGTTATGTTTTTCTCTCTGGCAGATTAACAGAGTTTCTGAAAGTTGCATTAGTTACAGACTAATTAGTTACAGACTTACAAAGAATAGACTTCTTTGTGAGATTTACTGACTTCCAGGCAATCAGTTGCTGGGAAACACCAATTTCTTTTCTACTCTCATAAGCGTGACTATCAGGAAGATGACTGCAGTGGTGTTATGGGCACCTAATGAATAGTGCTCTATGTTGTCATTAATAGGTGCCTTAGCTGTTTCTCAGTTACCTGCCAGTGTACTTAAAAATGCCACTGCACTTAAAAACAAAAAACAAATTCCAACTGTTTCTCTGTCCATTGTGCTTTCCTTTCTTTTGAAGATTTGTAAGTCTTCTACATTTTAAAAATCCAGTCTTTCCTGCCCCAGAAAGACTAGTCGTCCAGTATAGCAGGGACATATTATATTTTGCTCTTTAGATGCTGGTGGTGGAACAGTAGCAGAGATAACCTGTGCCAAGAAAATCCTTTGGTAGTCATCTTATTTTAAAACGTTAACTTGTCAATATTCTAGTACTCAAAATCTAATCTCTTTATAGGGCTGCAGCCCTATAATAAATGGTCTTGAAGGCCATTTTTTTAGTTTTATAGCTGCTTCCTGCATAGTATAATGAAGGACATGCTTTGGTTAATTATGAAATATTATGTCACTAAAAGGTGTGCCAAATATCGGGTGTGTGTGTGTGTGTTTGGGTTTGTTTTTTTATTGAGCAGATGGTATTTTTCTTAGTCAACTTATTGAGGATTTGTCTAAAGCTGTATCTTAAATTTAATAATCCTTTTCCTTCCTTTTGATTTCATCAGTGAAAATAATGTAATTGAAGGTATACAATAAAATATTTATGGTAAAAACAAGTAAAATAGTAGCAAGACATGGCTAAGAAAATGCCATGCACTTGGGAGTATTTTACATAGCAATCCTATATTCCAATTGGGGAGGGGAGCTGGGGAGATCACCACTGTGCTAGTGTAATCACCCCCATAGTCTGTGTATAGTCAGCCCTGGAAGCGGGTGGTTGAAACACAATCAGAAAATTTAAAAATGGCATATAATTAACAGATATGTGCCCAGCTCCTCTAGAACGCCAACACAATCCACTAGTTGGGAACTTTGCCAGTGAGAGTGCCAACATGAAAATGAGCCAATGAACTGTGTTGGATGTTAGCTTGTTTCAGACGAAGAGTTAACATTAATCACTGTTTGTTAGTTTGTACACTACAACAAACTGGTTAAATAAAAAAAGAAGCAAAAGCTTCCAAACTTGATGCAGCTGTACCAGAGGAAGATTGGGAATGATGGAACATGTAAGAACATAAGAAGACCCTGCTGGATCAGGCCAATGGCCCATCTAGTTCAGTATCCTGTTCTCATAGTGACTGCCTGTGGGAAACCTGCAATCAGGATTCAAGTACAAGAGCACTCTCCCCTTTTGTGGTTTCCAGCAGCTGATATTCAGAAGCATTGCTGCCTTGAGTCTAAGGCTCACTGCAGCTCATTCCCATGATGCTAAACTGTGGTTTAGCATGATCCCAGAACACATTCACTGAATGTCAAAAAAGAAAAGGGGGAGGGGCAGACAATTTTTGATTGTTGTATCTGGGCCTGTGTTCTCAGCGATGTCCAAGCATAGTGTAGTTAAGTACCTACAATTAATGAAAGCCATAATACTTTTCCTGTGTAGTTATTTTCATGCTCCACTACAAGTAGTCTTTTGTTGAGAAAGCCACATATGATACATTTAAAGGCTATCCGGTCATTGAATGTTGATTAACCTTTTAATGATAGCTAAATCATTTTAATGATGGATATATAATAAGGAAATGTTAAAGGGAAACTAAGATAATGGGGAAGCAGGTGGAGAGAGGAGGGGCTGGATCTGAACATTCTCAATTCCTGGTCTTTTTTAGATCAAACTAAAACTTAACAGAGATGGCAGAGCTGGAAGACTGATGGTTGGTTTAAGTAGTCTTCTTAATAGTGTGTGGTTCTGATTCTAAATTGAGGCTGATCAAGAGTGTGATTGAGTTCATGAGACGTTTAACATTCTCTAGATTGCTGCTGTAAGTTAAAGTGTATATCCTCAGCTTTTTCCAAAACATGGTTTCTTAAGGTATTTTCTTTATGTAGGAGAGATGCTACTGGTGGCCACCCAAGAAAAGTTGAATGTTGAAAGATTCAGCACAGACAAAAGAAAATACTTTTTCACTCTGCACATAGTTTACTTCTAGATCTTGCTCCCCAAAGATTAAGTGATGGCCATCAACTTGAATGGATTTAATAAAGGATTAGACAAATTGATGGTGGATTGATCTATTAACAACGGTAGTCATAATGGCTGTGTTCTACCTCCACAGTCAGAGGCACTGTACCTGATGCCATTTGCTGGGCATCACAAGTGGGGAGAGTACTGCTCCACTTGGGTCTTGTTTGCAGGCTTCCCATAGTTGGCCCCTGTAAAAACAGAGTGTTGGACTGGTTAGGTGTTTGATTTGATCCAGCAGGGCTCTTTCATTGCTTTTTCTGGTATGAGACCTGGCAGAGGCAGATAAGAATATTTTGTTCCAGTCTCACAACTTCAGAGGTAATTATAGAGATGGAGCATATGGTCTGTAGACACATAGATGGTGTGAGACTGCCAAGTAAATGGAACTGTGAGTAGAGGTTTTAATGGAAGGAGTGGGTCTCAGCTGATATCAGCATAACACTTCTTATTAACCTCCAGGTGGTACGTGATCAAGATTGACTGTAGTAGCACTTGTGTCAGTAGTAACTGACACGAAATAAATACACACATTCTTAAATGCAGAATTAAAACGTAAGTTTGGACATTTTTAAACACCCTAAAAAGTTCAAAATTGAGTGACTTTTACTTTTGGGTCAGTAACATGGAAGCCCTAACTCTGTGCTGTGGATGAATGGGGATTAGCTAGAATGTAAAAGTTCCACACCATTAATTAATTCTTGACATTAAACATCAGAAGAGCCTTGAGTGTGCAGGTGTATTTTTAAGAAATACAGAAATATCCTTAGCATTTTGTGCTTATTGGAGCTCTATAAAGAAGTAATTCTATAGGAAGTGGGCAGCTATGGCGGACACTAGTTGTCACTAAACAAGATTGTGGCACAACAAAGAGGGCCTCTGAAATCCATATACGCCTCGGTGTTTTTGGGGTGTGCGTGGTGTGTACTCCTAGTATCTCCTTTGCAAATGGGCTCCATCACCTAGTGCGCGCGCCCCCCGAGCCAGGTCACCTGTGGTCTGAAATGGCTAGGATTTTGCTGAGCGCAGTGTTAAGTCTTAAAGGGTTTACAACTTGCACAAGAACAAAGAAACATGGCAGCAGTATCGCCAAGCTGCTCTCTTGTGGCAGCCCACGACTGCTACCGAAAGCCTCTGGGTTCCACTTCTAGCAACAGCTCCTGTGGAAGTGCTAATATGGGGAAGACATCCCTCACCATCCAGGTCTCCCCAAGTCTGACCCTGGGCACTGGTAGGCCAGCATCTTCTTTGGAAAGACGACCCACCCAGTCATGACAACTGTGTCGGAATCCCCAGAGAACCCAGGAACTTTAAAGATGGCGAACTGCATGATTACATGTGGCCTGGCTCAGGATGTGATGTGGAAGTGCTACACCAGTGAGCCCAGCAAACCGAATACCGTTTCCACTGCATGAGGAGACTGACACCCCCTGGCCAGAAGCTTCTGACTTGAGCACTAGGAAGCAGAACCCATTTTCCACTCCCCCTTCCTGTAGAGTAGAGCAAGCTGCTTTGAGTACTTCTTAGACATAGGTTTTTATAAAAGCAAAAATGGCAACAAAAGGGGGGGGAATCTTCTGTACCATCCTCAGCTGCATCTTCTCCCCTCTCTCCCCACCCAACAAAGCCTTATTAACGCTTAATTCTTGTTTTGTACTTGTCTGATGGAAACTAATAAATCCTGAGC